ACATGGCCACGTTGCTGCGAGCAGTGAAGGTGGAAGAGGAAGGCTCGGCGCGTCGGCCACAACAGCTCGCGGCAGGATCAGAAGTGGGTCCAGGCTCGGAGTGCACTAGCGCCCCCTTCGCGTCGAGCCCACCCATCGACTCCATCATCATTTTCCGTGGCCCTGATACCATACACATACCCGCTGCGAGCAGTCTACTCCGCGCCCACTGCTGATTCTGTTCGCGCACTTTCACGCTCGTGTCGATCGATCTTCCACTTTGGCACTTCCAAAAGCCGCGCATAATCTTCAACTCTACCAAGTCATGCATGGCCGCACGCCTCAGGAGAGCTTCAGCCCAACGGTCCATATACTGGTGTTGCGATCGATCTGTTGCGCTACATGTAGTTCTTTTGACACCGTCTAGCGCACACGCAGACTGTACGGCCCTTGGCTTGTCACGCTCCTTCACTAGAATTGTCCTCGTGAGGTAACAAGCCAAGGACATGGAAGTGACGGCCTCAGTAGCTGGTGGTATTGCCCGTGGCTTCCCGACGTTCCCGAGGCCGGACTGGATTGCGTGCGTCTATCACCGAGCAGCTACCTTCCGATACTCGCACATCCTTGCGAGGCGAAAGACCGGCTACATATCTGATAGGCAGACTGCTTGCGCATCGCGTTTCAGAGAGACTACTTACCTTATGGTAGCCTAAACTTCATCGCGAGATAGCATACAAAATTCAGGTAATAACTTCCACTCGGAAGGACTTCAATCGGAGCGCGCAATATGGTCATCGCGGCCGCACTTCGCGCTTCTGGAACACACATGGCGATGCCAGTGATGTGCCACTGGCAGGCGCGACAACAAAGTGGAAGTCACCGCACGACAAAGATTGGGAGCTGCAAAGACAGGAAGGAAAGAACGTCCAGCCACCATCGACTTGTCCCCTCGTCCACTTCTCATTCGAACTTCAACATTCCAAACTTCAGCATCTTCGTCACCGTCACCCAAGACATCTCCGCATCACGCTATACTCCACACACAGCTTCCGCAAAGCCCGTGTACCTAAGAAATCTCAACCATGCACCCGATACTGGCCGGAATCCTGAAGTAGTGGACATGTCACTCCTCTTGAGGCCGATCTCTAATACCTCTATAGATCATGCTTGAGGGTCTTGCTCAAGAGTATCTTGACCGGCTTACTGCAATACCTCATTCTCACCTATGGTGCTACGTTCTACGGCTCCCTCGCAATCTCCGCCATCACCATTCATTCCTACGAGATATACTCCAACATCCGGCGCTGGTGCTGCGAGCCCAATGTCACAGCTTTCGACATCCCTCACAAGACCTTTCACATCGACGAGTCAGTACCCATGGGTGAGGGCTGCAAACAAGACGACCTTGTCTCCTTGCCATGCACAGTATGATGACGACGCAGTGGTACCAAATCAATAAAACCAACGGGCTGAATACTTGCATGAAGGATACACAATGGGATGAACCGCCACGGTGAGTTGGGAGTCGTTTGATATGGGCTACATGTGGAGCAAGCCGCGATTGGGTATGTTCGATGCATGGAACTTCACTACCAACGGGTTTATGATCATGGCTGTAGTCAGGACAGCCTCTCCTGGGGCATCGAAAGTAGCATTACAACGGATTGAAGGTTCCCGGAGCATCAATGCATGTCATTTGGGTATCTCAGGCACCTTCCCCTTGACGGTTCATACCTGTGAAGAGGCGATAAAACGTTCTGTCTCATTGCTTCTTGTGAGCTGCCATTTTGAGTAGCGTCAACCTGCAAACCATTGCGCTTCTGAAGTTCTTCTGAAAACCTCAGTTCAGAGTTCGTGGGCACATTGATGAGCTGCCGGACATGAGTATGATGAAAGATCGTGGCCATGTTCCATACAAGAGCTCAGCGTATGCACGGCTTTTTGGAACAAAGAGTGGTATGCCTTCCATTAGCTATATATCCGCCAAAACCGAGCTCGGCGGTACGGACTATGCCGTCCCTGTTCATGCGCTTTGGAATTACATTACGTGAAGGTCTTCTTTTGGGGTACTAACAGAACTTGTCGTCCTGCGGTCGTATTCTGCGCGGCTTTACTGCAATCATACATGCATGTTCTCGACGTCACAAACCGGCATTGCTTCGATCTGGACTTTAGGTACATATGGACAAGAACTTTCACATTTCGATCATGCTGCAGAGAACTCATTGCGAAATTGTCCATGGACTAGTATCAAGCTCGCAGGCCTTCAAGTTGGGTAAATGAACAAATGCCTTGCTGCCAACCGTAGGTAGCGATGTGTGTGGCATGTCGACTGATCATGTGGAAGCAATTGACGTGGGAGTAGCATCAATCGACAACGTATATAACCGGTGTCACCTCGGCGTCTACACGTTAGAGAGATGAAGTCGCAGTTGCATCGCACAGCTGGAAGATGGCGTTGGTTCGAGCAGGGTCATCTCGCCGCGAACGGAGTTCTCTCGGCCGAAGCCCGCATGACCAACCCCGCGGCCCTATCGCAGCTGCCATTGGTTGATCGCGAGTCAGCCGCGCACGGGCTTGACATCTCTGTCCATGAGCGCATCGCTGCATGGATGTCTTCTCACCCTAATCAATCTTCGACTACGAGAAACCGCGTCAGACTTTCCAGCAACTATGCGGTGCCTCGGGGTCGTACGTGCCTCTTGGTCCCCGCGATGGTACTATGTTCACCTGCATGTTTGAGCGTCACCACGGCGCCAACACAATTCCTGGTCAACTTACCCGGGCAGAAAGAGAGGACGCGAATGTCGGAAGCGACAACAACGTGTCGAGGTGCTGGCAGCCATCTGGTGGCCATTCGGCTGCGCTATCACGAATATCGACTACCAAAGTCTTCTGCAGATCGCTCACAGCAGCGCAGCTGGGCGGCAAGTCACGCACCGCCATGAATTCCTTGCCAATGATGCTGGCGGGGGGCAGCATCCCCTTCCCCCATGACCACCTCGTCACGCGTGCTGCCATCTTCAACTGGAGTCGCCTCCCATGGCCTTCTTGAACGCGCGCCAATCCGTATGACTCGGGCTGTCAAACCTGCACAACACAATACGTCGCACTGGTCTGGTCGCTCCTAGGCTCCATATTGCCAGATGCGCCTCGGTCGAGATGGCTTCGGGCCCAAGAGGGAGACGATGGAAAAGCAGATGAAGACAGCGCCCGCCCCACCAATGTCGCTGAATAGTAGTGTATGTACAAGCAGCAGTGTACAATCACCGCCTTATCTCGACTCTCCCCTGCTGACGATCCATAGCCAAGCCTGAGCCTCACCACCAACCGCACACGCTTCCGAAGGGCCGCGCGAAAGCCATATGATTTTCGCATCAACGGCTCCTCCATACTCATACCACCGGCGCCCAAAAATCCTTCGACAGCGCCAATCAAGGGCACAGCCAACACCCCTACACAAACTCTGTCGCGCGTCGGCCGGCTTACACTCGGGACCACTGGCTGGCACACCGGACATGGACATGAACCGTGCGACGTGATAACTACACGAGGGCGAGGATACCCGTGCCGACGTGCGGTCCTGGAGCGCACCCGGTCATACAATCACGAAGAGGCGAAGTCGGCCAGCGTAGACGCATCCCAAGCTTCCCGAAGAAATCAACCATAACATGTCGAAGCAACGCGTACTGAACGAGTAGCCTGCTTTAGTCCAAACTGAAAGCGCAGTCCCCTGTTCGGCGAGGTCAAAAGAGCAAGGCCAGCATGCACGACTACTTCGTCTCGCACCACCCTGTTCGCCAAACCCGACGCCGAGGGGAAGGTCGTCTCTGCTTCTGTGAGAAGAGAACACCGGCCACATCAACTTTGACGACTCATACGACAACCGGGGTAGTATCTTCTTCTGCTTGCTAGAGGAGTAGCGGATCAGCTGCATCAACTGGGATACCTTACAAGAGACATACTGGGCTGGTTTGGGAGTCGGCTTTTCGGTTTGGACTCGCGCAACTCCAACGATCATGAGAATGAGCTCTCGTTGTCGATTCCAAGTGAGTCACGGGCGAACAACTATCACTCGCAGACCTGGGGCGACAGGGTCCATTGTTCAGACATGGAAAGAAAAGCGTGCGCATCACGCTCGACCGCACCAACAAGGACGGCTTTCGGACCCTCCCGCGAGGGCATCTCAGTTTTGCTTCGAACACGATGCGTCCCTCGCTCCTTGAGTGTATGCTCGATGGCATTCGCGCCTTCGAATCATCGAACGACTGTAGCACGAATGTTCTGCAAAATGGCCCACGTGGTTGCGGTCGGGGCTACGGCACAGCCAGGTGTTGGCTAGCTCTCGTAGGCAGTTAATGAAGGCTTTCAGGACTCGTGTCGAGCTTTCTTTGGCGGGATGATCTCGCATCTTTCGCGCGTCGCATCTCTTAGTCGGCTTTCGTGATGGGTCAAGAACCGCGATATCAAATCGACATAATCGACCACCACTTCACTACGCACGAAGGGAACTGAAGTGTCGAGGTGGAACGTTGGGGCGGAGAGCACGGCGCGTTACGAGCTGAGGTGCTGTTGTCATGTATGTGCAAATGATCGCATCGTCTCTTGGAACGCGCCCTGCGCGATAAGGGCGACTTTTCGGGCTTCTGGATCACCAATAATGACAAGCAATGAGCAATGTCCCTTTACTCACTTATATATTGCAGTCATGTCGTAGCTGCTGTGACATGCTCTCAAAGGCGAAGCAACAGATTGTCGTGGTGTTGCTAGATACGCTGTCTCTTTCCGTCTTCATCTGGGCAACCCGCAATCTAGACTGACTTTCGTTGCTCCGACCCGCGCACTCACCGACTGAAGTTATCTTCCGACTCGTTTTAGTACGCGCTCACTGTTTACGCTAAGCCTTCCTGGTTGCCAATTATCCTCTGTCACCTCACGCGCTGGTCTCTTCTCACCATCATGCGGCCTCGTCTCGCTATGCCACCTCACGCAGACTAAATCACTTTTAACCCCACTGCAACATGAAGCAACAATTGGCGACAAGCAATACCAGACACCAAGGGTTCGTCTGCAACAGGCTAAAAGACCTGATGAAGGGGATCAGGTCGATCGCTTGTCGGCAGATCAGCTTTTCCAATCGGGGTCCCGCCTTCCTTGCAACGAGCGGAACTACAGTCAAGAAACCCGACCGCGATGTTGGGGATACTATAAATATGAGTCCAGAGCAGCTCTTGATCGAGGCAGTCACCAAGGCGACTGGTGGCTACGATCATGGTGCAGTCTACAAGAACATGACATACGGCTTGGCCAGCGAAAATCGCTACCGACTTGCCCGCGCTAGCTCAGGTCTCTACAAGATGGAGAGCGACCAACAAAAGGACTACAAGAGCGGTGGTCAGCTCTCGGTCTGCAACAATCCCCAACGTAACCGCTACGAGGAGCGCGATCGTTCCGCCCACCACCAGGACTCAATTCAGCGCGACCAGCCTATCAACTTCGACGAAGAGACGGCGAACTTCGACCGCATACGCGAATGGCTGGATAGTGTTCCGCTGGATCATGGCGCCTTGAGCACGAACACGGAAGAAGATGGAGAGGATGAAACCCTAAGCGATGATATCAACAGGCATCTGAACGATCACATCAATCGAGTGACGAGAGACTACAAACCTGGTGAGACTATTGCCCGGATCAAGGATGTCATGGAGGGAGGCCACCGATACCATCGCGCTTGCCAAAGCGAAGAGAACGATCATGTCAAGGGCAATGATCAGGTTGGGGTCAACTATTCATCAAACGGCAACTACCAAGGTCCAAGCGACAATCTCAGCGCATTCCAAGACGGCCACGATACTCGGGTTGCCAGTCGCAGCGATCAGCGTGCAGCCTACGAGCATCTACATCACGACGTGTACTACCATGCTCGGTAAGAGAAGCGCACGCTCACGCGAACACATCCTGTCTACGGGTTCGGCTACGATAAGGATGAGGAGGGTTGTGAGGATGGCCGTCCCGACTGGAATGTGGGTCAAATATACAGAAACGCTTCGATGACACGGAACGGACTCCAGACCAGCTTGTCCATTGTCGCCGCCTCGGCTAGACCCCAACACGTACGGAACAGTGGAACTTTGGCTTCCTGTGAGAGCATGGCAGCGTATAGTGAGGGAGACGGAATGCGGGACAAGCTCGGGAAGGCTTGCTATCATCTGTTAGAGGAGCTCAAGTCGCACAAAGTATGATGAAGACAGGGAGCAGTGATGAAGTCGTGCTCACCTTGGTGGTTGCTGGAAGCGCTGTCAACAGATGCGAAGGTGTCACGACTGTGAGGGAGGCAAAAGTCGACGAGGCAGCGCATGTACATCTTCGAGGCGAAGAAGCCCATGATCTTGGAGTAAACAATTAATTGATTGGCTATACTCGCCATTCCAGAGGAACTGTCTAGGCGTGCAGGTTTGACATGGAGTCTTCAAGTTAAGAGTTCACTGTCCGTGATATCGCCCTTGCAAAGCGCATTTTGAGATTCTTTTCCTAGTTGCAATACTAGGCGTGTCACTGGCAGCATGTCTAGGTGGCTCCCATGGCGCGCTCAGGTGGCTTCGACAGATGCGCTCGGTGCAACAGTCCCGGTCAAATTGATCGCGAAGGCTCCAAGACACATGTATCGATGCAAGTTTCCTGTCCGACAACCCGCTCATCTCACGATGACAGACTCATGCCAATCCGCTCAAGGTTCGTAGAACCAGTATAGGGCATCGTGGTCTTTGGTGCATGTTTGTGGCACGGCCGCATTCGAAGTTCTTCTCGCTGTTCCGGGTCGGGGTTGGGTTGTGTGTGAGCACTCAGTCGTATGACAGCCAGTCGCTCAGCGTTGTGGAAGCCACCGGGGCTCCATGGTGAACGTAACGTCGGGTCGAAAGTGAGTAGCGGCCGTCCCTGTTCGAGAGCAAGTAGAGTGGTGTTTGCCCCCGAGTTGGAAGTACTTGGAGGCTTATCGTGAGTCGGATGGTGGAAGCAGTGGTGGCCCAGTCAGCGGATGTTGCGACAAGCCATTGCTCATATCCGGCCGGAAATGTTGTTGCGCGTGCAAGTTTGGTCGAGGTGAGGAGTCGTGGAGTGTTGGGCGGTTACGCTCGATCAAGTGAGCCGTTCACGCTAACGCCCTAGCGTTCTCAGGTGTGCGCGCCCAAGCTCAGGTGAGGGAATGAGACGGCGCAGGCCTGAGAACACACATCGCTAGTCTTGACTCCGATGCACTCGTGGACGTCGGCCTCGCTGGAATGCGCAGCACCAGCAGAAACGAAGACAATGCAGCCATATCTCTGCCCGCTTTGCTGCGACGCACGTAGCTATGGCTACCTCCAATGCAGAGTCCAGTTGCAGAGCTCTCTGAACGCCCACTTGCCCGAGCGGGATGCAGCCTCGCAACCAAGAGAATAGCCCCACAGGAGACGGCCCGTGGAGGTGCAAGAATTTGAATGGGCATGGTGAATGAGTTCCAGCGAAGGAGAAGTTGAGCGCTACTATCGGGGTCTTGCACGCAACGGTGGTGTCTGCGGCAGCTGCTTCGAAAGACAGGTTGCCATCAGTGCCTTGCCACTTTCACGAAACGAGGCGTGAGGGAAGATTTTGGTGAAGGTCTCCTGCAATGGCATGTGCCAATCGAACTGGATGCACGTAGTGACTGCTACTACTAGTGGGTCTATTCCAGCCCGTTCTGACCTCAATATTTGAGTATGCAGGCTCACGTAGTGACTGCAGTGCTATCGTTCGCTAGGGACAGTTAGGGCTCCGCCAATACCGTATCTGCTTCAAGTGTTGGTACCAGCGGCGCGTCATGGCTCGTGTAGCTGCTTAGTGAACGACATGTGTATAGGTAGGACTACCAGTCGCATTGCAGTGCAAAGCTAGAGTCTCTCCCCCAAAGCTCGGGATTGCTGGGTGTGTAGCAGTATTGTCATTGGTACGCAAATCGAGCCACCGGACTACCTATGCTACATCCACAGCACCCACGCACAAAGAACTACAAATAGATAAAGCAAAAAGACCTTGAGGGCTGCACAAATGGAGGCCGAGTACGACTACATTCCTGTCTCGATAGTCCGCCTTCAATGAGAGTGAAGACAGCGGTGCAACCGTCCATGGTTGCAGAAGCTTTGTGCAGCCGTTATCGCCCTGCGCGAGCAAACATAGCGGGTTGGAAGGCAGCTCCGAAAGCACAAGACCAGCCCTGAACAAGAGCATAGACGGACTCTGACGCGCCACAGGAGAAGCTCAGAGCGTGTGTAGTTCTAGTAGCGGTGGACGCCTCACTCCGCCCAGGGCAAGGTAGACACCACCTCTAGAACTGCAGGCGCAGTTGAAGCTTCCGGTGCGGTTGAAGGTGGTGGTTGCAGAGCGGGGATGTCCGTCAGGCGCAAGGTGATGAAAGTTGTGCAGCGAGACAAGAAATACTTCGACAGTTTGACATCTGCGTCGACTGTGAAGATGAACACCGCCTGCTTCATCGCAGTTAAGCGTGTGAAAGAATGCTGGGTTATGTCCTCCGTGTGCTTGTAATGTTAGCTACGTCTGTTCTCTCTCTAGTGTGTGCTTACATGAGAGATTAGAATGCCGTTCAAAAATGCCTGGTAGGGCGCTACCGTGTGAACGTCGTTCCCGATCACTATGGTGAGGTGATCTGGCGAGTACTGGAGCTTTGTAAGGCGAGCAGATAGATCCCTTCCATGAGCTTCGGATCCAGTGACCGAGAGGCAGGTGGTCAACCTTCCGTTCGACGCGGCCATGGTAGCGAGCCGGTTTGCGAGAACCTTTGCGTACGTCCCAGCCTCAGTTCCTCTTTCCGCTCGTACTACTGCCACCATTCCGTCATGAGGCTCCATGGCGGCCAAAGTACTGTCCTGGATGTTATGTGTGGTACCAGCCCAGATGGGATCTGGTAGCACCTTCTCCTGGTAGAACGGCCGGGGCGGTGGGAGTGGGGACGACCTTGGCATCGCAATTGATGTGATGGAGTATGCTCGGCAAGCTGTTTCGAACCGACTGGATACGATGAAAGATCTGCCCGCTTCAGTATAGCTCCGTAAGACGTCTTTGAAGTGGACAAAAACGCAGAGAAAACTCACTCGCTAGTATGTCGAGATCTAACCGTCCAGATGAGAAATGAAACGTGGACGAAATGGTCACAGAATAGCTGATCCAGAGTAGCCTAGGTCGGTATCAGGCAATAAGAGGTGCCGCATTCAAAGATCATGCGTTAAAGAATGGAGTGGCAACTCGCGATATGAGGTTATCGAGGGTTCTTTTGGTCGTGATAGAACGTTACGTGTCTTAATTCCTACCTTTTATAGGAGTGAAGGATGCGGTCACGTAGCGACAAGTCTGGGCGGGGTGCTGATGGGTCCAGTCCGAGAGACAAACAATACCAAATGAAGCCAAACAAATCTACTGCCACACAGTCACGGCACCTACTTCCAATTCCTTTGACTTCATCAATTACTATGGCAGATCAAAAGACTCCACCCCGCTTTGAGAATCTCCTGACAAGATTGCCTCACCAGCGGTAACAACTGGTGGCAGCGGGGCCATGCGCGAACAATGGAATTGATAGAAAGATGGGCTCACGCCGCGTTCGCAGATTCTTTGGGAGGTAAGGCGGAATTCTTGTAACACGTGTCGCTGGAAGACATGTGCCCGTGCAAACACCGTCTTTCACCGTACCATTGGGCCTTTCCTCAGGACTGTCTATTGTCGAAAGATGGTGTCATGTATGACACTACCGATCGTATGCTTGCGGATTCGTCATCCAGTACACGTGCGTTTGCTCTCTTTCGGGAAAGCAGCAAAATACATCCCGGGCGCTCTTCATTACAGAGAAGACGCGTACATCTCTAACCATACATCCTATAGCGCGATGTTCAAGATTGGTGACTCAAACTAACAGATGCATTCTCGTATTGGAAGCAGCATTCTCACTATAAGAAATGCCTGTCCGCGAAAAGTCCCGGAGAATACCAGAAAAACTGAAAAGTACCGGAAGGTCGCTACCAGATTTGGGAACGCCAAACGCGCCCTATCACGTCTAGGGCTCTTTCACGACATAATTGCGTCCATATGCTTGCTTACTCGAGGAGCCGAACGCCAACTGTGAACGCGTAGCTTGATCTCGGATGTCTGGGCAGTCGCAGCCATAGAGCATTGATGAACCTCTACGCCATGTGTTAGCAGATTGCATGGGCGATGAGGCCTACGGCCTAGACAGGCGCGAACGAAGCTTCTTTCGATGAATGCGTGGCAGCCCAAGCGGAAATGCTGCAAACTTCGCTCGAGATAGCAGTATTGAGCACGACGCCAACCGGCGGGGTCGCTCATGCATCTTGGTACCAGGACGACGCTGAAGGTTCAGCTTGCAGTCGGTAAAAGGATTGTGCAGCGCTGGGGTGCATGGAAAGCGACGTGATGGTAATGCGATCAGTGAGGCGTTGGGCAAGCACAGGGTGGTGGACGTTGCCATGGCGTGGGCGACGGTGGGATGGGTGTTGGTGTTGGCGTGATGTGGGGTACCGTGGGGCGGCAAGGACCGGCCAATCGGCGGCATCCGAGTCGCGCCTGCCATGTCGAGTACGAAGACGCGTTGGCCTGCCCTCCATGTCCACAACGCCCGACCATGTATCGCCCGCGGTTCGTTGCCGGTCGAGATCTATCAAATGACTGAGTCGCCGTTGATCATGTAACACCAAAGGGTCGCTGAGCTCTCACAGGCATCTCAGCGTCTGCAGTGATGTCACATCACCTGACCATCATGCGATAGCCGATACAGGTACGCGCACAGCGGTGGCGGTACTGCGAAGAACGCAAAGCTGACTGACGGCGCAGTACATAGCTATGGATTGAATGCCGGCACCTCGCTTTCTCTCTAGCTACGACGCTC